TGTACACTGCACAATCCAGTCAGTGTCCCCATTACAGGTGTTCATTCTGAGCACCTCAAGCTCTTGCCCAGCTGTGGCACACAGGGGTTTCCTGTTTCACAGCCAGCTCTCAGCTATGGTAGAAAACCTCGGGGGTGACTCTGCCTGCAAGGCAGCATAATGCAAGGTGGGGTGATGATGCAATTGTAATTTTCATTCTGGTGGACATAGTCATATGACCATTTCACTTCCTCTTCCAGGGACTAGGAATTATATATCCAACAATTTTAGTGCTGGACTGGACAGACAAATATTTTGGGAATTTTTTTGCTCCCTAGCAGTAGTTGCCTACACAGTCCTGAGGTTTTGAGATATCCAAGGCAGAAGCTGGCTGTTCTGGGAAAGAAGCAGTTGAGCACACTTGCCATGTGTGCCAGATGATCAGTGGAAAGTACTGGTGATAAAATATCATTTACTGAGTTGACACTGAACAGAAAGTTCCCAATCCCCTACCTAAGCTGTCTCCAACACGACCTGTATTTGCGTTTGTGCTACACACCTCTCGTTTTTGGGAGCTGCCTGGTGCTTTGTGGCCCTCTGCCACCAGCTGGGGCCACCTCTGCCAGGGTCAGGCTGTGGACACACACCCACAGGAGCTCAGCACAGAGCAGCAGAGCAGAGCCCAGATGTAAACAGGCACATGTGCAGGGCAGCTGATGGGTGAGCATGGAGCTTTCCATCTTAGCAACATACATGCACCCATTGTCTCCCACCATCTGCTGCAGAAGAGGAAAACCTATGCATATAGAGCCACACCAAATTTGCAAGAAGAGTAGTTTTAAATTATTTGCATAGCTGTAATCCACTTTTTCCTAACAACACTCTAATAAGAATGACTTAGAGCCCCAGTTTAGCTGCTACTAAACTACTGCTGTCTTTGCTTTACCTCTGGAAGAACAAGATAAACTTCCTGAGCTTCCTTTGTAAAATGAAAAATATTTCAGCCAAAAACATCAAGCTCTGACAATCTCATATGTATGGTAGTGCCTAAATTAAGGTATGTGTGTTTGAAATTTGTATCCTTCAAGGACAATCTGTGTAGTAGAGATAAACGTTATAAAATGCAGGCAGCTAAATAATGAAGTAAGGATTCTGGAATTTAATATGATAACTCAAGCACTGAGCTGTATGTATTTAGGTTTTGGAGTTTTCACTTTTTCCAAATGGCATTATAAGAATTACAGCTCCTTAAAAAAAAAAAAAAACAAACCAAAAAACCCCCAAAAACACATGTATATGCCAGGATGAATACTAGTTTCCTAAATATTTTTAGTACAAGACATATAATTTACTCAATAAGTGAAAAAGTTTGTTTAGAAAAGCTACTCAACTGTACTGAATGTCCAAAATCATTCTCCATCTGCAGAACCATAAAAGGGCTCAAAACAGAAGCAGAATGTTTTACAACAGCTGGTCTCTTTCAACTTTCTGTAATTTTTATAGCTCCTTTTTGGTGAATTTTTTTTTAGTATACTGCAGCAGGATTCTTCTAGAAGCAGGCAAACCATGGTTTCACTTGTGCAATTCCATGGAGCAGAAGTGGATCCCTGTTATCCTGAACCAGGCACACACATGCAGGGTCAAGTAATGCACTCTCACATCAGGGCTGAAAACTTATCAAATGTGGCCCTGATCCAGCAAAGCACTTAAGCACATGCTTTACTTTAAACATGTAAGTAATCCTATTAGAGCAAATGAGATTCAGCATAAACCACTGGACTGAATCTCAGAATACCTTGGTGGTGGCCCTGATTATGGCAGTGACAGACTGGGTAACCTTGGACAAATCACTGCACTTCTGTGCCCCCGTTTCCTCTTCTGCCCTCTCCATGTGCATGCCATGCTGCACCACCTCCTCAAAAGAGTCCCAATGGATCTCCCAGAAACTGCTGCACTGCCAAGGGTGGCAGGGATGTGGATGTACACCAGTCCATTTCAAACACCTGTCTTGCACTCAAGGCTGACTCTTCGCCAAAACTCCCCAAGATGACATCCCTCACCCCTAGGTCTTCTTATCCCTCACCCTCAGGTCTTCTTATCCAGTCCTGAGCACCAATTTCAAAGCACAACGTTGCACTTAGAAAGCAGCTGGGGTGGAATCCAGCCAAGGCTATCTGCACAAGGCCAGCACAGCTCCTCAGCAGGCCTGGCTCCAAACCCAGGGCTCAGGATTCAGCTCCCCTCCCACCCCTGACCCCTCCTCACAGGGCACCCTGAGATCCCAAGTGCTGCCTGGGGGTTCACGGGTCAGTCTGCCACATTCCTGCCAGTGCTGCATCCACTGAAGGACAAAAACCCTGCAGGCCTGGGAAATCCTGTTTAAAGCAGGCAGGTGGAAGGCAGCATTGTCTCACAGGGTGCAGTGTATTTGCACTAAAAGGTTTTTAATTTGGTATTTTTAGACACTATGATGCAAGGTACAATTTTCCACAGGCAGGCCATATGCCATCAACTCTGTGTCTTAATGATCTTGAGAATATTTTCACATAAATAATTCTGCTTTTGCACATACATACAACCACCTAGTCTGTTTACTCTTGCCATCACGCTGCTTCCCAGCAGTTGTCACAGGCAATGTCACTGTCACAAGGAGAATATGGATTCAGCTCCTAACAATGAAGCAGGCATGGATGAGTGGGCAGGACACTCAAATGAGTTTCAGAAAGACTTGAGGTGAAATACTGTCCCTAGTGAAATCAATAGCAGTTCTCACATTTACTTCAGCACAGTAAATATTTCAGCCCTTTTTTTCAGTGCCTTCTGGTCATCTCAGTACCTAACAGAACAATCATTTATTTTCCTTAGAAACACAGGGAAAAGGACAGAAGACAAGGAAAGCAAGGCAGGGAGGCAAGATATCAAAACAGATGTACTCTCTTTATCAGAATAATTAAAAACCCCACAAATTTACAATGACTCCTATAACTGCAGATTATAAACAATGCAGAAAATGAGATTAGATTAACACAGTCAGGCCCATCCTTTCTAGGAACTCATTCACAAATTCTTCTTCTGTCCTTGAAACACCTGTACACCACGTTGCTGTTTTGCCAGCTGAGCCAATGAAGAGCTCACAGCAACAGCAACATAATTCTGCGTGTGTCAGCCCGCTTCAGATCGGGCCTTCTGCATACAAAGATATCTATTATAAGGCACAAGCATCATGAGCTGTACTCTGTTAATTAAAATATTTTCTGCTGCAGACTGGAAGCCTGGCCTACGAGGTACTTGCCAAAATTATGTTCAGGAGCACAGCAACTGAAATGTGTTTCTGAATAGGCCAAAAGTTAGTTACTTTTGACTTTTTCTGAATGCACACTCTGTTCTCTTTGTACAACGATGGGAATACAGTTAAAAGGTTATATGTAACTGTGCACTAGCAGCAAGCTAATGGACACGAGAAACTACCGAATTCAGAAGATATTAAAAATTTTGGACGTCCAAAGAAATGCAGAAAGAGCCTACAGAGTAACCTGCACCTGAGCTTGAATTGAGCGCACGCCTTGCACAACACAGCAAAGTCACAGAACAAGTGAAATTTACAGTAAACACGCCGGCTGCCAGCAAGCGCTGCAAGTTTCCAAAATTAGCCGGCTTATCGGCCAGCAGCGGACATTTACGAGGCATTTCGGAGCTCCCGGAGCCCTCGGCAGCGCTCAGAGCTGGGGCTGACATTTATTCCATCCCCGCCTCACGCCCTGCGCGCTCCGCTCCGCGCTAACAAAGCGCACAGCGCGGGCGCATGCGCGGACCCCGCGGCCGGACAGACAGCTGGACACGGGCCGGACAGCTGGACACGGGCCGGACACCGCGCCCCGCCCGCCCGAGGCCAGCAGCAGCGGCCCCGGTGGACATCAGCCCGCGGAGCGACACCCACGGCATCCAGCCAGCGCGACTGCTCCGGGAGAAAGTTTTCTCCGGCTTCTGAGTCTATTTGAACGCCACGTTACTTCTCTCTCTGAATTTCAGCAAAGTTTGTCTCTTCGTTTTGAAAAAAAACCCCAGGATTTAACGCAAGTTCAGGCTTCATGCAGCACCCTCCTTTTCCCCAGCATCTCATACAGCGCCTCACAAAAGGCCCCAGAGGTTGGACAAACATAGCACCAGGAAAAACACAGCGTGAAAGGGATCTTTATGTGCATGTGTGAGGGCCCAGTGCTAATAGCTCAATGTGCTATTGACACATCACAGTGCAAACAGCTAAGGCTTTTTCAAAATAGCGTGAGTCACAGTGTCATTCTCAACTTTGGGTAATTTGTGGTAAATCATCCCCGTATTATTAAAACATATTTCTGTAAATGAAGGTAAGACACTGGGAGATGACTATTGCTTCTAAGGTTTACTCCAAACACTGCACATGCCGCAGAGGTGTGAATAGACAGAAGTGGTACTGCAACTTCTGTGACAGCCCTCGCCAAAGCGGAGAGCTAGTTACCCTCCTGTACCAGCAGCTGATGCACTTTTGGATAATCCTCCCGTTCGGATAATCCTCTAGTTAGGAACCGGCCGTAAAGAGCTGTGCTGAGCCGAGAGAACAGAGCACAGGGAAGCTCCGTGCTCTCCTCCCAGGGCCGTCCGAGCCCACCGCGCTCTGCCCGACCCGCCGGGAGCCGCCCGGGGAAAGTTCGGCAAGTGCCGAGCCCAGCGCGAACGCTGCGCGCCCGGGACGCGCCTTTGTTCGCCGGCCACGGGGAGCAGCATCGCCTCCCCAAGCTCCTCCCGGCTGTCTGCCGCTCGCACCCACTGAACAGCCCGAGCACCGGCCCGAGGGCAGGTTCTCCGGGGCGAGCCCCGCGCCCGGCCCCGCCGAACGCAACTTTGCGGGGCTGCGCATCCCCCGGCCCCGCGGAGAGCGGCGGGCGCACCGCCCCCGGCTCCGCGCATCCCCCAGCCCCGAGCCTCCCGCCCCGACGGAGCCCCGGGCAGCAGCACGAGGAATTAAAACCCGCGGGAATAATCACCTTGTTGTAGTTGTAGTAACCCAAACACTGGGCAAAGTCCAGGTTGGAGGGGTCTCCGGGGAGCGCGCTGCCCGCCGCAGCCGGGTAAAATCTTACATCCATGCTGGAGATTTGGTCCACTTGGAGAGACCGCCGGGAGGTTTAATAGATCCACCTTCAAGTGCCTTCCCCGGGGCAGGGGCACGGGCGAACCGCCGAGGGAGCGCAGCTGCGGGGCGCCGAGCCTGCCCGAGAGCGGGGACCGGGGGGCGGCGGGGACAGCGGGGGAAGAGGCGGCGGAAAAGTGCAGGTAAACAAGGAGGAGAAGAGAGCAGGATGAGAGGAGAGGTGGGCAGCGGACCCCAGGTGGCTGGATGCCCGTCCACCTCGGCGGGAGGAGGGGAGGGGAGGGAAGGAGGGAGGGCAGGGGAGAGGGAAGGAGGGAGGGAGGGCTGTTGTTTTTTAAAAGCTCAGTGCCAAGCCACAGGCTTTGCCTCCGCATTCAGGAGCAGCTGCCGTACACAAAGGAGCCACGCGCCCGGCGCGGACGGACTGACGGACGGAGCGGCCGCCCGACAAAGGCGGGGGCACCGTCAGCGCCGGCGGAGCGGGGCACGGCGGGGCCGCGGCCGCCCCGCGCTGCCGGGCAGGGGGCGCCTACCCCGGGCTCGGTGCAACAGGGCTGCGCTGGGCGGGCGCTGCGGGGCCAAGTGCCGAGCGAGCGGCGCCGCGCTGGCAGCGCTCCCGGCCCGCGCCCCTCCCCGCCCCGCCCGCCGCCGCTCCCCCGCCCGGGCCGTGCCCATGGCTGTCCTCGCTCCCGGAAGGGTCCAGGTGAGTAACTTTCACCGCTTCCACCAGCTTTCCGCCCTTTTTTTGGTGGGGGGGGATAATGCACTTTTATCGATTCACACCGCTGCCTTGCTGCGTCAGGTTGGTAGCAGAAGAAACGAGGTTTTTCTAACGCGCTGTCAGGAGCAAGACTTTAAACCTGCCTCGCTTACAGAAACCTCCTCGCACTCGCAAAGTCTCCGGATGATGAGTCAAAGCTACCCGCTAATAACCAAATTTGTTTTGTCAGTCGTAGGCACAGCCCAGCCGTATCTGCTCCCTTGCACGGAGCTTCGCTGACCTGAAAGTCTGCTACAGAACTTTTGGAGAAAACACTAAAGCAGCACAAGGCCAGCTAACCTTACAGATTGAGCCCTGCAGACAAGGTGCAAGGAAGAGGTATGGAAATACGCCCTGGAGTCAAGGCTCCAGTGACAGGGAGAGGATTGCCTTTTGGGTCTAGGGCGGATTCCTGGGCAGTTCTCATGCCGCTGAAAGTATGCCCCAGATGGAGCTTCCTCCATTCAGATGCAAAATAGCAATGGTAACATAAGTATACAAGGCTTAACTGTACAACAGCAGCAAGACCTTCTCTGGAGGACAGACATCCTTGGGCCCATGCTCAGTCCCCCTTCTGATGCCTGTCTCAGGAGCTGAGTGCCCCACACTTCATCTCCAGGCATGATTCTTCACTGCTGAAAAACATCGGGAGCAAACTGTAAAACAGTCAACAGCTACATCATGTAGAAAGGAACATCTTCCCAGTTCCATTCCTAGAAATCTTATGTTCAATATTTCTGGTGGCACAAGTAGCTCCTGGTTGCATAGGACATGCCAGATCACCCTTATTCAGGATATTGGTTCTGAAGTAATCACACTTTGAAGCAAACATCTCTAGCACGGTATTTTGCTCTAAGAGCAGAATTAAACATAGCACAGATACATATTTGTATTTCCATAGAGCATTCAGAATTTAACTTTCTAGAAAGCTGTGTATGAATGGGTAAATGCCTCGATAGCAAAGATAACAGGCATACACTGTCACATACCTAATCCAATTTCATATTCATTATGGCTACTGTTCTTAACCAAAGGCAAAAGACTGCAAAATGTACTCTGTTACCAGGAGAGGAATGGTTAAGGCACATGCAGCACAGAATATTCACACAGGCACACCCCATATCAGTGGCAAAAAATTACTTATGCTCCTGAGAGAAACAAATTGTTCAGAAAAAGACAATGAAACTGTTTCAGACTGCAACATCACATCAGAGCATTCCTCCAACACAGTGACGGAAAAGTGGTGGTGTACAGGCACAGCAAACATCTTTCAACTGAGGCTGAAAGTAAAAGTAGAATTCTACCCAAGTGCGTGTTATGTTAAACAGATTCCTAGGTGTAGGAACAGATCATTGCCCTCAGGTTCTGGACTGCTCTGCTATAGGAACACAGCTATTCCCCCCTGCCTAGCTCTGGGTCCCTGCACTTCTCATGAAACCTGAAAGCACATTTCCACTGAACTCAGAGGAAGATTACACGAGTGAGGAATGAGCAGCAAGTGATCCCCAGCCTGGCTTTGGTCCTGCTGCCACACTGCAAGCAGGCACTGCAGGGCTGCAGAGCTGTGATCCACGGCCCTGGCACTGCCTGGCAGCACAGCCCAGCCCGGCCCAGCTCTCCTGTCCTCTGCTGCAGGCTGGCTGCAGGTGGGAGGCACAGCCGGTGCTCCAGCAGCCACTGCACTGGTTGGGAGACTTGGGGTCAGCACATGGGCAAATAATGGTGATGGAAATAGCGGTGATTTTAAGAATTCTGCTGTTTGCAACACAGTTCCTTCTGAAAGTAATACCCACAACAGTAATACCTCAAAATACTCTGTTTTGACATCACTGGCTCGGAAAGTTAATGTAAATTGGAACATACTCAGTCAGCATTAAAAAAAAAGTAATTAAAAAAAACCCCTGAGGCTAGGCAAAACACCCCCAAAGTATTATTTGGTGAAAAGTTTTGAAATACTCTCTGTTTATACTATCGTGAAAATAAAGCAGAACTTCAATATTTTCATCAATAAAAGAATTACAATTCCTGAGTACAAGCTACTTTTGTCACTCCTACCTAATGCCCAAAGTAAGTCTTTTGCAGAACTAGTATGACTGCAGTGAAATGAATTAGTGATCTAAAGAAAAGCAGAAGAGAAACTGGCATATATATGCTAATTTATTTTTCTTTTTAAAAAAAATATTATGATTTATGTGATACTATACCAGAGAGAATTGTACTAAAAAAGAAACTAAAGAATTAGGCAAGTGTGTGTTTTTCTTTCTCAACACCTCTTCAATGTAGTGCATTAATAAGTAAACTTGAGTAATCTCTGCTATACTTTTAGTGCATATACATGACGTCATTATGTGCTTTTTTATTACAATGCATTTATCTCAGGAGTACCTTAAAGATGAAAAGTGAGCCAAAGTATTTATAACCTTCTGTACATGATGCTTGAAAGGAGTCCAACAAATTCTTCTCTCAAGCCATTCTCTTAAAGGTCCTTCAGTAAAATTATGGCTTTGAAAGTCTACTTTTGTCTCTTTTTTTCTTTCAGAGTAGATGGAGTATGAAGTATTTGCAATTTTGAGTAAGTTTTCTTTTTTTCCCTGCTGGTTTAATAAAAGCAAGTATCTATCTACAGTAAGTTGAGTACTCCAGTAATTTCCCTGGTCCTGGGTAGCCTGAATTTCAAAGAAACTTTTCAAAAAGCCTTGTTTCATAAAGGTTTGAATGTATGCCTACTGATGCCAACAATTATGATTCAGGAAGCACCACACAAATGGTGACTCTGTTCCATCTTCAGCTATACTTTCTTCTGACTCATCATCACAATTCAATTTTAAAAGCCATTAAGAACACTCAAACTGCTTTTCTGATGTAAGAACAGAAATTGTATTGAGTGAATCAGTCATATACAGACTTGAAAGTGTGCCTGCACAAATTCTCACTTCTGCCCAGAAACCTTTCAGCTTGCACAGGTAAATATGAATGTTCCAAGCCTGGCTGATTCCCACACAAGCCTTGCAACTCTTGGGTTTGTTTTTTTTTCTCCCATGCCAGGCCAAACTTTGCATCCTTAGAGCCTTTGCAAACCCTGTGTCAGTTCAGTAACATGGAAATATTATCTGAGGCTGCACAAGCACTCACCTCAGCAAACCCCCTGTCTCTGACTGCACGGTTTCCTCCCACTGGCAAAGCCTTGGAGGGGCAGGAAAGTGAGGGAGAAGGGATGGAAGGGCAGGAAAAAAGTGAGGGAGAAGGGATGGAAGGAGCCAAGGCTGGACTGAAGCTCTCTGCTCCAGTTTTACAATGCAGAGCCAACAGTACAAAGAGCTGAGTTTCACTTGCACCTCTGCCTCCTCCACAGACTTAGGGGAAAGTAGATGGATGTACCCTGGGCAGTGCAGGGGAAAAACCCCCAAATTCTCAGGAGGTTCAACAACAACTTTTACCCACAAACTTTAGAACTCTTAAGTAGAATAAATTTTAAATTTGTCAAATTTTAAAACATCCAGATGAAGTAAGACACTTTGCAAATGTTACTTTGCAAACTTTAACCTATCCAGACACAACAAGGTACTTACCAGAAATTTTTGGTTCAGCTTTAAGAAGAGGAAGGTAGAAGAAAGAGGAAGAAAGGTAAATATTCATCCTATGACCCACTATTCCTCCAGTGTCCTACACTGTTTTTTGAGTTCTGTAAGAACTGGGAGGAACAAGAGGAAAGGGAGGAACAGGACATCTCTGGTGCCACCTGTTAACACTGTCTTGGTCCCTTTCCCCCAGAGCACATGTGGAGGATGGAAGGGCACAAAACAAAAAGGCTGGAATACAGAAGGAGAAAAGAAAGAGCACCAAACAGGTCTGGTTTAGAAAAGAGTCTAAAGCCTCCTGAAATCAATAGAAAGTCCCTTTAATTGACTGCAATGAGTTTTGAATGAGACCTATATTCTACTTATCAAGTACAGCTGCTGAGAATCAATAATATTTTGACTGACCCTTCAAAGCAACAACTACACTAGTAACTTCTGGCTAAGAAAAAGTACAATTAATAGCATATTAATTCATTAGAATTTATCCCACTGAAGTCCCCTTCTCATCAGGTGGTAGAGTCAGATGGCATTTAGAAGTGATCACACATGCATGAATATCCCATAGTAGTGAGGCAATAAAGAAAATACTTTTGTTCCTAACATTAAGTCAGATCAAATATTCATTGATATCTACATCTCTTAGCAAGTATCTCAAGCAGAGATCAATAAACACTTATTAGTCACTGACTATGTTTCCTGCAGTAAAGGAGGGAATTTCAGCCAACAGATCAGAGAAGCCAAACAATTGGGGAGCTGCAGTTTAGTGCTTGCTGCCAGATGATCACTTACCTTCTCATTGTCCCAGTTGCCACATCTAGAGAAATGCAGATCAAAGGATTATTTAAAAACTATAGTGCTTCCTTTAAAATACAAATCATTATTTCAAAATACAAGTGTAGATTGTTGCAAGGAGGGAAAAAAATCACAACTGCAAGTTTTTGGTTTGTGAAAATCCTTTCAGGCCCAAATCAGGCAATACATTACTTTGTGAAACTAGGAATAAAATATAATTATTAAACTTTTCAAATATTTACATTTGCCTCTTTGATGCTTCTGTGGGTTGCTGAGGTCTCTTACTTTACCTGAAGTATTTTACCACC